GTGGCCTTGGTTGCTAATGTGGGGGGTGAACTGTCTTTCTTGACTGTAGGTGTGGTGGTGGTGATATTAAACCAACTTGGTTCCCGTTCTAGACTCTGTGGTCATAGAATGAGCCTCTAATGCATGGAGTTCCGCTGGGCCAAACTCGGCAGGTTGGATCTGTAGGCTGGTACTTCCCCCTGGGTCTGAGGCGGGATGAGGGGCCACGTGGAGCCGTGCAGTTCCGCTGGCTGTTGCCGATGGTGCCAACGGGTTCACCTGTGCAGTGCCAGTTCGGGGCAGTGGGCCAGGTCCTGTAGCTCCCCCCCCCCGCCTGCTTAGTCCCCTTTTTAAAAGACCATTGTACCGTTCAATCATTCCCACCACCTGGGGATGATATGGCACATGTAACTTCCACCGAATGGACAACTAGGAGGCCCACCTCTGAACCCCATGCCCAGTGAAGTGGGTCCTGTTATCACTTTCTATAACTATAAGCCTACCGTACATAGCAGTAAGGCTATTGTTTTAGTCCACTTTGTGTTGCTATAACAGAACTACCTGAGTCTGAGTAATTTATAAAGAAGAGAGGTTTATTTGGCTTATGATTCTGGGACAGGTGCACCTGGCATGGGCCTCAGGCTGCTTCTACTCATGGCAGAAAGTGGCAGGCTGCCGGTGGGTACGAGCAGATCACATGGTGAGAGGAAGCAAGAGAGAGAGAGAGAGTGTCCTTTAAACAATCACCTCTCATGGGAACTAATGGAGTGAGAACTCATTCATTACTCCCCCCTCCCCCAGGGAGAGCATTAATCCATTCATGAGGGATCCACCCCCATGACTCAATCAGTTTCCAACACTGCCACATTGGAGATCAAATTTCCACATGAGTTTTGGAGGGGACAACACATCCAAACTTCATCAGGTATTCAATGCCTTCACAGTGTTTACCTGGTCTGGGGCCTTACAAGGCCATACGAACAGGAGGCCAGTAGCTGTATCAACAGCTGTGAAGAGGTATCTGAAAATTTCTGACCTTGGCAGTGGTCTGACAAAGTCCACCTGCCATTAAGTCAGGAGCACCCTTCCTCGAGTTATTTGCCCATCTGTATGGGGCATCCACTAGGGGTTTGGACTCTCTTGAGCATACACTGGTCAAGCACAACAGGCATTCACTACATCTTCCCATTTTATAGGCAGGGCTCATCTTTGAGCCACCATCCACATGGTTTTACTGCCAGCATGCTGCATTCG